AAGAAGACTGGTGAACTACATCGAACTGGGGCGATCAGTGCCCACTACAAGAAGACTAGTGAACGAACACTGAACTGGGGTGAGCCGTGCTCATTACAAGAAGACTAGTGAACGAACATCGAACTGGAGCAGGGCTCACTACAAAAAGGCAACCTAACAGAAATAAACACCAGCTTATACAATGCATTGGGAAAAAAGCGCATAAACGATCCTCACATCTCCCCCCCTCCCCGTCCTACCCCAACACCTAGCTGAGGTAAATAGTCCAAGATAAAAAGTAGTAGTAGAAGAAGAAGAAGAAGAAGAAGAAGAAGAAGAAGAAGAAGAAGAAGAAGAAGAAGAAGAAGAAGAAGAAGAAGAAGAAGAAGAAGAAGAAGAAGAAGAAGAAGAAGAAGAAGAAGAAGAAGAAGAAGAAGAAGAAGAAGAAGAAAGAAGAAGAAGAAGAAGAAAGAAGAAGAAGAAGAAGAAAGAAGAAGAAGAAGAAGAAGAAGAAGAAGAAGAAGAAGAAGAAGAAGAAGAAGAAGAAGCAGAAGCAGAAGAAGAAGAAGAAGAAGAAGAAGAAGAAGAAGAAGAAGAAGAAGAAGAAGAAGAAGAAGAAGAAGAAGAAGAAGAAGAAGAAGAAGAAGAAGAAGAAGAAGAAGAGGAAGAAGAAAAAGAAGAAGAAGAAGAAGAAGAAGAAGAAGAAGAAGAAGAAGAAGAAGAAGAAGAAGAAGAAGAAGAAGAAGAAGAAGAAGAAGAAGAAGAAGAAGAAGAAGAAGAAGAAGAAGAAGAAGAAGAAGAAAATCGTTGCTACTGAAAGTATCTTATTTATTACACATGTTATCCTGGTAAAGATTGAACAGCCTTAAAAGTCTATGGTTAAGCAAGGAGATAAAAATTAGAATTTTGAGAGGATGCATCTTCCCTGTGGCTACATACGGATGTGAGTCGTGGACTATCTCTCAGTCCTTGAGAAAGAGAATAGGGGCTTTTGAGCTGAAAGATTCTCAGAATATCTTGGACAAAGAAGATAAGAAATATTGACATCTTAAAAGATCTGAAAATCAAGGAAGATTGGCTAATAAACAGCATCCTGTCTCGGAAGCTGAAATATTTTGGTCATTTCAAGCGCCACGACGGATTAAAAAAAAAATTATAGCAGAAAGCATGGTACCAGGAAGGAGGGGCAGGGGCCGACCGACACAAAGATGGGCACAGGAAATAAGTGACTCCTTGAGTATGAAAGTGCATAAGGTGGGAGAACTGGCGAGAGACCAAGTTTCTTTCAGGCAGACTATGATGAGAGCGACGTTCTGCAAAGGACCTGCTACATGATGATGATGATGTTGTCTTTGTAGAAGTTTTAGCTCAGGCTATATTTCAGCGTATTTTCGAAATATGGGAATATTGTTACACAACTAAATTTTAACACATTCTTTAAATTACAAAGCTGAATCTGATTGGTTGTAATATAATTTCTCTGTGTGTTTTGAAAATTAAGCGACTGTTGCTTGATTTTCATCTGTTACGTTACACTGAGAAATTTACCATTTGATCAGACTGCTCTCTCTCTCTCTCTCTCTCTCTCTCTCTCTCTCTCTCTCTCTCTCTCTCTCTCCCTCCCTCTCTCTCTCTCTTCTTCTTCTTCTTCTTCTTCTTCTTCTTCTTCTTCTTTCGTTCACCTGAAATAAGTTGTCTATATCAGCAATTTTGTCTCTTGTATAAATTTCACTGTTGTTGTTAATTCATTTAGTGGTCCATAGAGTTTACGTTCCACTGTTGTTCTTTCTGGCCAAAAGGTTTGCCTTAATGTGTCAAATTCGGTGCAGTCCTGGAGTACATGCTCTGCTGTCTGCGGCTCCTTTCCACACGTGCACATGACTGATACGCCTATCTTGAATTTTGTGTACATGTGGTTACGTAATCGGTTGTGCCCTGTTCTGAGGCGGAGGATAATGACTTGGCTCTCTCTCTCTCTCTCTCTCTCTCTCTCTCTCTCTCTCTCTCTCTCTCCTTTCTCTCTCTCTCTCTTTCTTCCTCTCCTTTCTCTCTTTTTCTCTTTCTTTCTCTCTCTCTTTCCCTCCTTTCTTTCTCTCTCTTTCTCTCTCTTTCTCTCTCTTTCTCTCTCTCTCTCTCTCTCTCTCTTTCTCTCTGTCTCTCGCTCACTCACTACTGCTGCTGTTTTGTTTTCATTCAAATCTTCCCAGCAGCGCTCATTTTGGGAAAGACTGGTTTCAATGTTTTCCTGTTTATTCTGACTTCTACGATCCCTATATATACGTTACACACTCCCGTTGAGTGTTTGCTTACTCCATATCGAGCTATTACTTCCCATAAACCTTGCCTATTGACTCTGTTGAATGCTTTTTTCCTGGACTAGGAATGCCACACACACACAAAAGTTCTTATGGATTTGTTGTTCTTTTCAAATAACTTTTTGAGGATATGTACAGCCAACTGTAGTTTCATCAGTGGCCTGAGACTTGATTGTCTTATCTTGTACATATTGCCAGTCATTGAGAACAGTTTGTTGTAACCATGTTGATATGGTGTAGCGGGTAGCCACTAGGGTGTAGCGGGGAGCCACTAGGGTGTAAAGGGGAGTCACTAGGTTGTAGCGGGGAACCACTAGGTTGTAGCGGGGAGCCACTAGGTTGTAGCGGGGAACCACTAGGTTGTAGCGGGGAGCCACTAGGGTGTAGCGGGGAGCCACTAGGGCGTAGCAGGGAGCCAACAGGTTGTAGTAGGGAGCCACTAGTGTGTAGCGGCTAGACGCTGGCCTGCGAATTGGAAGGACGTGGGTTCGGGTCCTGATGGAGTCAGCTTTTTGTTTTCTTCAAAAAATTGACCCTGGCTCCCATTTCGACCCAACCTTGAGCTTTTCAGATTGCCTCTCTAAAAATCTACACACAAGGTAGCTGAACAGGTATAGTCCTGGAAACAAGGGCTGTACCGAACATTGATTTTCTCTATTCGGCCGAATACGAATAGTGGGACCAACTATTCGGCCAAATACGAATACGAATAGTGTATAGTGTATAAAATATATCTAAAAAACACACATTTATAATGTCAAATAGACGCTGAACTTTTACTTCACATAAAGTAGCACAGAATAGGCATCTTTTTCTTTATCATTCTGAGCCCTTGAGGTTTAATGCTGCTGATATCACTCGTCTCCATTCATCTCTCTGGCGGCCTTATCTTCACAATTTGTGACACCAGTTGTTTGCAGATCTGGCTGGATATTATCTCTCGAACTTATTTTTTGTCTGCCTCCTGGTCTACGCCCATTCCTCTCTCAGGTGTATACAGTTTTTACTTCTCTGTCATCTGACTTTCTTTCAATATGCTCCAACCATTTTAGTGTGTTAGCTCTCATGATGCCAGTGATCAATGGTGTTTTAAACATATTATGTGTTACGTTGTTGCTTCTGACTCTCCATTCCCCGCTGTAAGCATCTTTGATGGGTCCAAAGATTTGTCGTAGAGCTGTTTTCGAAAACCTGTAATAAAGCCTCATCTCTTTTATTTCTGCTTCAAGTTTCAGAGCCAAAACAAAAACAAGTGGTCTTTTCAACGTTTTGTATATTTTGATCTTGGTGTTGCGAGACAGACACTTTGACTTTAGCAGATGTTGAAGGGCATAGTACACATTATTTCTAGATTGTATTTTAAATTGTATTTCTTCTCTCAGCATGTTGAAACAGTTGTAGTTTGCACCCAAGTACTTATATGTTTCTGTTCGTTTGATTTTCATATTATCGACTTGTATTTGGCCGGAGTTTATATTCTTTCCATGTCTAGTTAGTATTCGTACAGAATAGTAAACATTTAAAAACATTTTATGATCTGCATCCTTCAGTCAGTCTGTGGTAGCTAATAACTAGGAATGAAAGCATCCTAAGTATTATAACAAGTTACTGAACTTGGAAATTGTCACTGACAGCTTAGTTAATACAGGAAAGCTGCATTAGCTTTCAACAAAACCAATCGTTCCATATTGTCAGCATTAAGCTGTGTATGCAGAAGCGGGTGTAAGGTAACTATTATTCATATTCGGCCCGACCACAACTATTCGGACGAATACCGAATTAGTCAATAGGTCCACTATTCGGCCCCGAAGGGAATACGAAGCGAATATTCGGTACAGCCCTAATATCTACTGTTAAAAATCTAATTAATATGACCACATAGGCATTTATATGTTAAGAAAACATTCTGACCAAAACGTATCTCCATACTGTCTATGTCTTTTGTTACGGAATTTATATTGTTCTCTTTTAAATCCCATTTTATTATGTTGGTGAAAGGGAAAAAAAGGGGGCTGGGAGCGGTCTAACCATTCACTCAAGCGGGGCGCGGAGGTCTTGCTATATACTCGGTCCGGGGGGGGGGGGGGGCATTACTCGGTCCGGGGGGGGGGGGCATTACTCGGTCCGGGGGGGGGGGGTGGGGGGAGCGACCTGAAACAGATCGAAGACCACTGTTATAGAGAATACCGACTTTTACAGCAAAAGGAATGTGAGGATGACTTTCAGAGGTCAGTTCGGCTAAAGGATGAGTGGGTGTGATGATAGTGAAATGATAGTGCTTAAACAATACGTTTAATGTTACTGACTATACCGTGTGTCCAGTAATACTTGGAAACAATTCTTCCTTTTTTTTTTTTTTAAAGATCTAGAATCTTAACCAAAATAAAAAAAGGTGGTATCAGTCAGTGCCAACCAAATCTTGAAGCTTGCACACGTAAAGAAGAAACGCATAAGGCATCTGTTAGGTGTGCTAATACTGCCAGTCCCACACCAGAATTGCAGCTCACTGATGACGCAAATGGTTAATCACAAAAGCCGGCATTGCACCCGCAAGAGGACACGACATTCTGAACGTAATCGGCCACCCGCCAATTTAGTACTGGTTTAATTACTTTTTATGGGAAATATTAAGAAGATTGGTTTAGCGATTCCTTTTTAATGAAGATCAGTTTGACGATTCTTTATTTGTATTATCGCAGGCACACAATGGATTCACCATACAACTCTATCGCAGCTACTAACGCCGACTTGTGGCGGTCTTCAATAGACGACGCATCGCCGCCACCAAACATCCTTTTTGATTCGCCCACCAGGGACCACATAGACGCCAATATGACCTCTTTAGGTCTGGCACCTCTGGAACTGGAGCAACTACCCAATTTTTTCTCGATACCTTCTTGCCCTAGCTACAAGTATGGACACCTTGGCGACAGGTAAGAATAAGTTAATCCATGTGTAATCGATCTACTCCGGACTGCAGATTACTTTGCAATTGTTTTCTGGCGCTTTTATATTACTGTGATACATGGCTAGGTTTCTTGAATTTGCTCCTGTTTGATTCTAATCCTTGAGTTGTTAATCATACGGACTGCAATCCTGTGAAGGAAAACTATACTGTGTAGTTAAGATGTCTTCTTATTTGACTCTGACTTCTTCATCTTCTTCTTGCTTTCTGTTTCAGGTTTATATTTTAGCTGCTTCCTATATACTATAATGTCAGTTTGGAGAGAAAAATAAAATGAGTGGAGTTTTTTTGACAAGCGACAGGTCTTGACCATCACTACGATCTTCACAGGAAATCAAAGGCACCCTGAGCATGGAAGTTCGGTAGGCTTTCCAACGACCCTTGATGGGAGTGATGTTTTGCAAACGGCGTTCAATGTGGGAATGATGATGACGATGATAATTATGATGATGAAGACGATGATGATGACGATGATGATGACGAAGATGATGACGATGATGATGATGAATGTAGTTTCGAGATGGCTTCTCCCTTACTTTCTGTTTTTTATTAGTACATAGCAATCTGTATTATTTTAATTGAATTTATGTACGCTAGGGTTTTGTGAGTGTTTCACTATTGATTCTTTTGGACTATTTGGAGAATACATTAGTAATAACAGATCGAAGATGTATACAAAAAGTTACACATAGAATAGCGCATATGAAAACGGCAATTCACAGGATGATCGGTTCTGGTACTTTCATTTCCCATTGCACCTAAACGGTCAGCTCTCAGTACCACTGTCAAAACCAACGCAAGACGCTTTGCTGCCTAATCTTCAGCAGAGGGGGTTGAAACCCGAGATCCCAGTATTACGATGCGCGTTCGCAACGCCTAAGCCACAGAAGCCAAAGAGCAACTGGGTACATCAGGGGTAAAAACCTGTTCACGCCAGTGGCGCAGCGGGCATATAATGCTAGATTCACATTTGTATAGACAACCTGGCCCTTGATGAGTGATGAGATTAGCATCTCGCCAGCCGCTTTTACTTCCCACGGCTTTACCAGGTACCAATTTTACGCTGGGGTGACCTGGAAAACCATGGTAGATTTTAAATGAAAAAGAAAATTCGACTCGATGTGAATTCGAACTCACAACCTTCAGATCGGTAGACGGAGCCTCAGCTGGCTACACCCCGCCTCTTTCGAGAAGGTATTTGATAAAGTTGCTGTGAGTGCTAATTATAATTTTTAGGATTCTGAACATGGTATCTAGGATTTGCCCTGCTGGGTTGCCATCTATTGTGTATCTCTCAATGTACCTGCCAATTACTGCCTCTATTATACCATATTATTGCGGTGTAGGCAGGGGTTTTTTAGCTGAGGGTTAATAGCCGCATGGCTAGTGCTGTCGCCACGACTGTGCAGGTGAGCATTTATTTTGGGCTCCCGACAGAAAAATTTTTCCAGCCTTACCGTGGATTCGAACCTGGGTCTCCCGCTTGTTAGCCCAGCGTTCTAACCGTTCCTCTTAAAATAACGAAAATGTTAAAGTTTCAGGTAGCAGCACGGAGGGGAAACAGACGAGCTTTACTTGAGAATAACAAGCTACACTGTCCAACAGCACCACACAAACACGCTGCGGGCAAATTTAGCAATAATGACTGATATGTGAGATGAAATAAACTAGAACCAAACGTCCCTGTTATGTTGAGATCAATCCCTGCTGTGTTCTATGTCTGGGCAGAAGTTAAACGGAGGCTTTAAATGCTGTGTTTTGTTGGTTCAGCTAATTCAGAAATGTTATATTAGAAAACATGCACGGCAAACGGGCAGCAACAGCCGCGCTAACCAACATCAGATTCATTTCTGCACAGCTGCTTCTGGTTGTTTTTGACCAGTCCCTAAAGTCAAACAAAACAAGGCTACTTGTAACTGACTTCATCGTCATGGTTTCTGCCATTACGATATTGTAATACTGTAGTGCAACCCGATATACTGGACTGGACTTCTACAGTGGAGAGCTGAGAGGCACGTCCTCCAGGATACAGACGTCTGAATAACTCCTCCCCCTTGTTTTCTTCCTGTCACCATGGCGACGTCTTTGCGGGAGCAAGGAAAATTGAGGTGGGGGAGGGGGGGGGGGGGGTCGGATTATCTATGTGTACTTTCTAAGGCGTTGTATAACCGTGACCCAAGGGAGAAATATATTCTAGAAAAGGCGCTGTATAATTTGGTTTTTATTTTCTAATAGTTGTTCTTGATGACCTCGTTAGATATTTTGCGTGACTTTATCATTGGTTTGAGTTCAGTCTATTTCTTCAACCTGATTCTCGGTGCAGTTGGTACCAGGATATCATTTCTATCTGGTCAGACCATCTGATCTTCTACCCTCTAATGAAGTGTAGTCTTGTTTCAGTCTTCGTTTTAGAACTTCATTTTTTTTTTTTAATTATGTCAAGGCTGTATTTGACTCTGGCAAATCCAGTATTGTGAGTCGATCATATTTGTGACCTTTCATACATCAAGGATACATGCAGGGGTACAGTAAATGAACAATATACAAACCACTTACTGTATGTTTATTGGATATCTCTCTCATCGTGTGGGTTCCGATGCTCTGAGATGGAGAATAAAGAATAGACCACGATCCTTTATCTAATAAACCTGTAGTTGGAGACGACTAATTTTGGTTTTCCTCTCCAAAGTCGGAGTAATCTACCGGACGCGCAAGAAACTAACAGTCTACATACAAATCAACCGGAACTAAAAAGGATGTGCACGTAAAACTCAAACTAGGCAATCATGGGAAGTAAAGAATCAAAGAGTGGCAGCACTATTATGCTAATGTGTTTTTTTGTAAGAGGTGGCCAGGAGGTTTTGGCGTGGTACTAGCTAGGTCATGCTATTGAAAACTGTTTCTGTAAACCCAGCTAAACATGAACAATGTTAAATAAAACGAAAGATTAATAACTCAGGCCACCAGGATGAATTGTGCTCAGTACTAGAAGAACTGTGAAGTAATGCGAAGAAAACTTGATGGTCTGACGTCAAGATCTCTGATTTCCCTCATTTCATCCAAAAAAATCGCCAAAACTAGCATCGAATATTGTTCCAGCTATGTTTGGATTCATTATGTCAGCACAAGTAGTAAAGGAAATGAAATTAAAGAAAAAAATTAATATTTAAAATTTTTTTTAAACAAGATTGAACATAGCACATACTGAAGAGAAACAAGAGAAACAAGAGAAACAGTGTTACTCTCATATGAAATAGAATAGAAAACGTCACAATGGGAATATGTGACTCTACAGTTGTCTACTGTGGTAGAGAGCAGAAAACTCTGATAGAGTTTCAAACAATGAGTTCTGCATAGTAACAGCAACATATCCAATAGTCACAAAGAAATTAAACTTGAAAGGCAGCCAAAAACATGGGCGCTGAACCTGAAATCTCAGCGCGAAACTCCATTCCCTCTATCCCACCCCCCACCCCACCTCTAAGAAATGTGTAGTGGGGGTTACCCAACCTTGCGTAACAGAGTTTCCACCGAACATTCCATTTTATTGTTGGTATTATTATTATTGTTATTATTATTATTACTGGTAAATTAAAACAAGGCTAAAACCCTCAGAGACATCTAGAACATTTTTATGGGAACTGCCACCCCCCCCCCCCCCCACCACCCCACCCCATATTTTTTTTGGGTCGACGCCTGTGGCTAACAGCTGAGTGTACATGCCTATTGTATGCCTCGACTGGGGGATTCAAACACACGACCATCAGGGCTGACTACAGAGCTAGTCTAAAAACAATGGACATTTCTTATTACGATTTTATATCATCACAAAATATGTCAACTGTCCCTTCTTTTCTCCTCAGGGAATACACAACAAAAGGACCTCACGACATCGCTGACGCCCTGTTGTCGCTGAAACATGCCGTGGTACACCCTGATCTTCGCGGACCAATGTCCCCGCTCTCATCACCGCCACCACAGCCATCCATGTCTCATTTCGGATCTTCCCACTTCGGCTCCACTCAGGTTATGTCTGGATATGGGGTCCCTTCTCCCGGGCCACATCCTTACACTCACAGCCATTCCTTTTCGCACGGACCCTCTCAAGGCCTTGCATACTCCCTTAACCACAACTCCCCAGTCATGCAGGGCTCCTACGGGACACAAGCCTTGGGCCCGCCAAGTCACCACCAGTATGCACAATACGCCGAATCCTGTCAGAGTCCAATCCTGCAGCCTCCTGTTCAAACGGCAAACGTGCATTTTCCTTCGATGAGCGTCAATGTATCTATGAGTATGAATGTTGGTATGCCCACCAACCTGGGACCAGGCCATGGACAGTATAACTGTGGGCCATCAGGACCAGTTATTGGTGGCAACTCTGCGCAGGGCTGGCCGTTATCACCTCCAAGTCCACCATTACCACCACCTCCTTCTTCAATGTCTCAGTACCACAACTCTACGTCAGCAAATATCCCAACACACTGTAACGGCTACGCTAATCAGTCACATACTTTCGGCCATTTTACCCCCGAATACAGGTCGCTGCCTCCTGACCCCAGAACCACCGGAATGTACTACAAGCCGGTGTCAGAACCATTTAAAGACGGTAAATATTGTCAGATGAACCATCACCACCACCACCATCATCATGAACATATCTTGAAACGAAACAGGTTTGCACATGAGCGATCACTATCCTCAGCGGCTGGCCTAGATGGAGGGTTAGTAGTTAAGACTAACTTGTGTAGAATCTGCGGAAAGACGTATGCAAGACCAAGCACGCTGAAGACTCACCTGAGAACGCACTCCGGAGAAAAACCATATAAGTGCAGCACCTGCAGCAAATCCTTTTCCCAAGCTGCCAATTTGACTGCTCATTTGCGGACACACTCGGGCGAGAAGCCATTTCGTTGTCCAGTTTGTGAACGCCGCTTTTCTCAGAGCTCGTCAGTGACCACTCACATGAGGACACATTCTGGTGAGCGCCCTTACCGCTGCAGGATGTGCAAGAAAGCATTTTCAGACAGCTCCACGTTGACCAAACATCTTCGCATACACAGTGGGGAGAAGCCGTACCAATGCAAGCTGTGCTTGCTACGATTTTCTCAGTCGGGAAACCTCAATAGACACATGCGTGTTCATTCAGGTAACAATTAAAACGTAAAATTTGAAGTCTGTAGCTTAGGAATTACGAAAGCGGTTTGTAATTCCAAAATAACCGGTTCGATTCAGCTGCAGGCGACTTAGCAGCAGACTGCTCTGCGTTGATTCCGACAGTGGTATAGAAAGTCGACCGTTGTGAAAACAATGACAAACTACTCAAATGTCTAGTTAAAACACAAGCAGCTAATAAATGCTTGGGTTGGTTTGCAACATCTTGTAGAAGATACGCAACTAACAAGTGAAATTATGGAGCCGCGGTAGAGCTGTGGTCTGAACGTTTGCCTGCTGTCCAGATGTCATGGGTTCAAGCCACATCATCAACAACAACAACAACAACAACAAAAATGGGAGGGGGGGGGGTATGTATATACTTTTAAAATTCTGTCAAGTAGATCTAGCCTAAAAGTTTTCACCTGGAAATTTTCTTAGAGTAGAGGTTCCTAGCACGATACTTGCCGCATTAGCCACTGAGTGAGGACTGGACAATGAACCTTTTGGAAGAGTTCAGTTATAATTTTGAAGCTGTTGTATTGAAATTCAGGTCTTTAAGCTATAACAAAGGCACTTCAGCACACCACATGCAGCCTGATTGAGATTAGACCATATCGGCGACCGGGTCGCCTATATGCTCGCCGGTAGACGACATTATCGCCGGTCGGGATAGTATGTGGGTCTATCTCCTTTGAAGGCATGAACACTGCAGGAGTCTTTTTTTAAATCTTTTTTGATGGCGTGCAATGATAAGCCATTTTATATGGCGCACATAACCTAGCCACAATTCTAACCTAAAGCACCCATTTCGGAGATGCTGGTTAAATATGACGATTTAAAAAAAAAAACCTATGATGTTGATGATGATCAGATACTCTATGTCCTTCTCAGGTTATTGTTAACACACAAGCCATTCACAAGTGATCTCCATTACCATGGGTCTGATGCTTTTCTGTGCATTATACCTCTTACCATTTTACATTCTTTTTTTTTTAACCCTTTTTTCTGTCATTGTCGGTCGGCGGCTGTGGCTTAGGCGTTACGATTGTACTTCGTAATGCTGGGGTGCCGAGTTCGATCCCAGCTGCGGATGGTTTGTATTGCTTTGGTTTCGAGAGTGATACCGAGAGCTGACCGTATAAAAGCAATGACTAACTACTGAATGAAAATGTGCATAGAAAACCCATCAACAGCAACAACTACAACAACAACAAAAATAATGAGTTTGGTTCTGCAACGTCCTGTAAAGGATACACAACTAACTTTTACCTACAGTCATTATCCAGGTTTCTTTAGATCCCCGAGGTGGCATTGTTTCTATCAGCTGTTCATCGGAGAGTATCACGAGGCATTCTGAAAACATGTACTATGCTTCTCAGTCTTCTTCTTTCGGTAACGTTTGGAGATTATACATTTTTCTTAAGGTGCTCCTTATCCATCAATAGATCATCGACCCTCAGCCAACTCATGCCACGTCGTCCTATCCTGTGACAATGTTTGTTGGTTTCTTTTGCAATTTTTTTTGTTTAAACGGGATGAGGTAGCAACCCTGAAGTAAAACCCTTAGTCGATCTTTTACGACATTCTTGGTAAGACGCAATGTTACAATTCTTTGTTTCCTGTGAGGGACCCGGCAACACACGGGTAATATTAGAAACCGACTGATAATATTTTATCTATCAGATTTACATACAAGAAGCCTAGTTACCACGAACTGAAGGAAACCGAAAATGAAGAGTTCGTGTTAATCACTGCTGGCACCGACTTTTGTTTCACGTTAACTGAATGTTCGTCTTAAGCGAGTTCTTGTTTAGGAATTGTTACTGTACTTCATTTTCAGCCTAATGCTCTGTGGGAATTCGGTAGACACATTCAAGTGTGTTGACTCAATACATAATAACTGAAACTTAAGCAATTATTACAGCTATCCGCCAAAATGCACTGCAATAAATGTCATGTTTGCTAATTCCAGTTTACAGTATTTAATATGGGACTACGTTTATGCTAAAATTATACGTACATAACCGTGTCTATGTGTTTATGTGAGCGCGAGCGCGTGTGTTTTGGTGTGCTGATGGGTGTGTCTATCTGACTGTTGAGTTATGCTATAATAGTATTACATATATGTTTTTGATACAGTGCCTCATTTGTAAAACGATGTCAAGTAAATCGATATATCGAAGAATCACTGTAATTGTAGTTATATCAATGAATGGGTGATTTCTCTGATTTGAAATGTTATTTATAACATCCTTGGATTTTTAATAGAAGCCTTTTTGCTATTTCGTCACATATTAGGACTTTATATTTAGTTATAATATAGGACTGTAGTCTGAAATGTAACTCTCATTCAGTGACTCAAAAAGTCACCTTTTTTTTTTGAAGTTACTTGAACAGGCTTTCAAGGTTCATTGTATAAACCAGTCATATTTCAATTTAAACATGGCCGCCCCACTTTTGACAGGCACACACACACACACACACACACACACACACACATACAAATGAGCAACTCAGCGAAGGAGTGAAACCTAACAAAATTCATCGAAGAATGAAGATCCAGGATGGTGATGCATACCAGTGTAAGGTAAAGCCTCCTCACAATTCGCAAGAGTCATCGTTAATAGAAGTGCAAAAGAGAACAACATGAGAGGCACAAAGGAAAACAGCAATTAAAAGCTGTAGCGACCAGACAGTTCTCCTCGTTTAGTCAGGGTGTCTTCATCTGCCAGTGCTATTATTCACCCGAACCATAAACATGAAAAATGAATTGAATTCCAGTTTAACCATTGAAATAGTAGCGTGAGTTTTAGAAATGTGTATCCACCAAGCACGACAAGCACATCTCTAAGAATCTCAGTTATTTATTAAGTCTATTGGCTGAGTCGCCGTGGCGTAGCGGCTAGATGCTAGCGTCCGGATCGGAAGGTCGTTGGTTCTCTGCCTGGCGGAGCCAGACTTGCCAAAAATGACCTTGACCTCGAAACAGCATTGAGGTGGTACCGGGTGCAGTTCCGGGAAGTAAAGGTGGCCAGTGTGACTGACTCAATCACCCATCTTGTGCCGATTGGTCTATAAAATATAAGTCTAGCCCTGTATGTTTTATATATGCCCTATACGCCCAAAGGAGTGGAAAAAGGACCTTAACTTTTTGTTAAAAGTCTTTTGTCTTTTTCATTTAGACATTTAATTATAGGGCAGTGTATAAATTAATTTATAAAACGCTATCAATATATAATACGCCAATAACAGTTTGTTTTTAATAGAATTAGATTAATCATTTTCCCTCTATTTCTTATGAGGAAATTCGTTTGTTATACGTACTGTTTGGTATACGTACTGTTTTTGTATTAGTTCAAGGATCAGAAGCGGATTAAGTACGTAAACTGGGGTACTACAGTATTTCTAAAGAGGATTAGTCTCTTTACATAACTATTGTAAGACTCGTGAGATTTGAACCCGCATGTTCCGACGCCCATGCTCTTAGTATGCTCTACAGTGTGTCCTCTAACCTTTATTTCTTTCTCTGACTGCTACGGTTGCGTTTCAATGCTTGACAATGTATTTTTCTTTATATAAGGGCGATAGCGCTCTACGGACACCTGCCACGTCTACGTTAATAATATGTTGCAGAATCTCGGTGGCGAAGTGGCTAAGCCTTTTGCATCAAGCTCTAGAGGAAACCTAAACAGCAACAGGTCTTTGTAAGAGAGAAAAATGGTATGTAAATGACAAGCAAAAAGACAGATTTTGACTACATCAAGGTGTGTGATATTGTCAGTGTGTGTCGGTGGTATATATGTATATAAATATATATACACAAGGACATATAATGAGTGAGAGAGAGAGGGGAGAGAGAGAGAGAGAGAGAGAGAGAGAGAGAGAGAGAGAGAGAGAGAGAGAGAGAGAGAGAGAGAGAGAGAGAGAGAGAGAGAGAGAGAGAGAGAGAGAGATTATACAATTTACCTAATGTTTCTGTGCAGAATTTTAATGAATCTTTTATCTCATTTATGCACATTACGCTTTAGCATGTTTGTGACATAACATGCAAAAAGACTGCATCTATGAGGTTCCATTGTAAAAGTAAAAGGTCCCTTTTCCACGCCTTTAAGGCGTATTAGGAATATAGGGCTAGACCTATAGTTTATAGACCAATCGGCACTTGGTGGGTGATGTGGTCAGCCGGTACCCACTTAAGGCTAGGTCGACCTAAGAGTCAAGGTCATTTTTGAATAAAAGTCCGGCTCCGTCAGGACGCGAACCCACGACCTTCCTATCCGAAGGCTGGCGTCTAGATGCCAGCACCACGGCGAATCCCGAGGTTCTAGTGTAGAAGTAGAATTATTATGCACGCGATCAGTTGGACTGCAAGCATAATAATCGTCGTGTTAGCTTGGAAAGGACTCCGCGAACAGACATGGAACCCCGAGGAATAGGCAGGGGACAGTTAGCACGAAGGTGGTCACACATATAGAAAACGCATTAAGAACGTAAAGGTTTAGGGTATGGGAACTGGAAAGGGACTGCAAATATTTTCAAAGGGTCGTAGTGTATTTCGCTGTATACTGTCAGGGGTATTTTACAGCAGCCTTTGACTTAGACTGGGGAACTAACTGAATCCCTAGTTGATTCATATTTCATTCTTTTTTCGTGTAATCTCCATACTAAAAGTTGGCTATATAGTGCTACCACTGCATACGAATATTAGACCCAATCTCCTTCGCGGTATGACTCCCGCATTATTACCCGAACACTACAAGAACAGATTTTTTTTTTCGTCTATCGTGGGGAACGAACTCCAGTACTTGAGGATCCTGATATTGTTGATTTCTAGTTGGTTAAATTTGTTAATCGCATTCACTGAATCTGTGCCACGAAGCCACATTTTGTTTGTTTCTTCTAATTAGTAGGAAAATATAATTTTACAACCAATGAGAACTGGACTGGAAAGTCTTAATAATCACGCCACTATACCGACTGACCTCATTAAATCTTTTTCTTCT